AAACATTGAAGGAAATGAATTAAAATTGTTTTACGTTAAGTCTTTGATAAAATGTATTTAAACATCTGTAAATAGACATTAAACATATTCCAGCGAGTAGCGTCAAATTCTGCAGGATTCAGGGTGTTACTAGGATCCATTTTAGCTAGCAAATGCAATTTAATGAACGACTGGATCAATCTCCAAGATCCGAATAAAGCACAACGAGTTCAAATCTACTAAATTTTCTAGTGCTGCCGGATATTTTCTTCCTACTCTGCCTTTATCAACTACCTTGGCGGCACCAGTTGCAACTCGCTCGCTCCACCTATCGCTGCAATCCCTGCAGTAGTCCAACGCAGAACTATCCTGCATGGAATTATTGTCTGTCTCTTCAACAGGGGCTGCAAACGCATTGCTCCCTTTTACGATATGCGTATCAACGACTTTGACTTTCTCTTCCCATCCCACGAAATAGGCAAAAGATGTTTGATTTGTTGACTGGTGAAAATATTACATTGACGAAAATTCTACGAGTTTGTTAGAGCCATTAAAATATCATTTAGATAGTGAGCAATGGTCTGTTAAGCGCTATAGCGGATTGCTCTAGTAATTCTATTCATAAATCTTTCATTTTAATAGCATTTATACTAGAAAGTCCATCGCTGGCAGCAGAACTCGTGGTAAGCGGTATTGTCCTATCAAACATGGCACTTAACAGCTGTTTGGTTGGAACTGCGCGCAGCGTTGATAATGTTCTAATTTTCACTCCCTATGCATCTAAATGAAGCTGTCTTAGCGCCTATCTTATTCCCACAGCTGTCTTACCCACAGATATCGATCATTATCGATCTATGCTCCATCGTCGACACAAAAGTTAATTTATTTCCCTCTTTATTTAACGACGACATTATCTTATCCTAATAAGCATGGAGAATCACCTTTAAAATCAAACTCTTCAAACAGTTGGTGAGCACATGTTGTTTGACAATGAAACAGCACCGTGCCATGTCTGATATTATCGGCAAAAGGCGCTCTATTTCAAGTCTAACGAATGATGGTGGACAAAACAGCTTTTTTAAGCACTCGTAGGGACGGAACTGCAAACGGTGTCAAACCACAGATATAAGCGATTACAGATTAAACGCTTCAGTTTAAGGTTACAACAAAACACCATGAACGAGGACG